CGGGGTGTTGGCCCTTGGGACGGGACACCTGGCTTGGGTTTGTGGTGGTGGTGGTTTTTTGGGGGTTTGTGGCACTTTTTTCTTGGTTTTGCTTTTTTTCCTTCCTCCCCAGATGTTCCTCTGTAAAGCTTTAAAAATTGGCTACTTTTCATCGCAGGGCCTGGCGGCGTTTTAGACGAATGAAACCAGACTCCGGATGCTGCCAGCGAGGTGTTTTGGGGAGGTGGTCTCTTCCCCGGCACAGCAAGGCCACACAGGCACCTGGCAGGCCGCAGGTTGAGGGCTGGGCAGCGCAGGGCAGGATGCGGCCGCTCGCCAGTGCCAGGGTTTGCAGTCTCGCTTTGGTCCTCGCTCACCAAACTTTTCCTTTTCCCTTAAAGCTCAGCCGTCGATGGAAGAAGTGGTACCAAAGTGGCCATTAAGAAATTGTACCGCCCGTTTCAGTCTGAACTCTTTGCCAAACGAGCCTACCGAGAGCTGCGCCTCCTGAAACACATGAAGCACGAAAACGTGAGTTGGGTCGTTAGCAGATATCCCCCCCAAGGCCACAGTTTACAGACCCTAAAAAGAAAGAAAATTAGGCAGAGTTGGACAAGGCTGGACAGGTTGGACATGTGGCTGCATGGAATTCGGGAGTCTTTGACCAAGACCTGCGTGTCTGTCTTTTGTCTGTCTGTCATTTATCTACAAACATCAGTTCGCACAAACGAGAATATCCTGTGGGAAACACCACTTCATTTCCATGCAGGAAAGGTTGGGTGGGGAAGGTTAGGACCACGGTGGAATTTGTGCTCAGAGCTAGTGAGAGAGATAAAGGTCCAGAAATTACAATCTCCATCACTACGTTCCTGTGAGGTGCAGGAGAGTGCAGGGCATGGGTCTGTGCCTGTGGGTCTCGGGTACCAGCATCTCTTTTTTTATGAACTTGCGTGAAGATGGCTATGGTACACATGCATATCCTTGGGACGGGGGTGGGGTTTTCCTTTTTTTTATCATTCATGAAGCATTTGAAAGTTTGGGGTTCATACTAATGTGAAACAGGAAAAGTTGCTGAATGACTAAATAAATTGCTTTACTGGGAAGCAGAGAATAGGATACAGAGCTCTGCACAGATTCCCACGTAATGTGAAAGAAGAACAGCCGCAGAAAAAAGGCTTGAAAGTGTCATTGAGATAAAGATACTTAGTCCCAATGGTGCTTAGTCATTTAAGAAAAAATTAACGGAGGTGAGATTTGTGTGAAAACAGTTGTTGTGGAATCAAAGCACAGACTCCAGGTGAGAAGGATCCCAGGGTGTGCTTGGAGGATCCCAGTAGTGGCTTTAAATGCTGTTCGTCGCGAATGCATGTGGGTGAAAAAAAAAAAGAGTTTGGAGTGAGTTGTTAAAATGATGCATAAGAATCTGGTTTAAAATGTTAATAATGTGGGAGACCAGAGCGTAACTCCATTCAGATGGCCTTCAAGGAAAGCTAAGAGATGGAAAGTGAGGATAAGAGAAACTGGTAATAACAATAGCGAGACATTGCCATTTACCGTTATAGTATTAACATTGTGAGTACCAACAATATCCAGGTTCATTTTGAAGAATAATCTGTGGCATGTCCTGGCTGTCCAGAAAAAAACAGACCTTTTTGTAGGCTTAAGAACCTGCGGGCCTGTTAACATTTTAGTCTGAATCTTTTAATACGTTTGATCACTTTACTTGATTCCTTTGAAGTAACTGCTTCATAACCACTGCTGTATATGTTAAAGAGTTAACGTTTGCAGGGAACTTCTGTGTCATGCATGGGCTTTCATACTTTCAGCATTTTCTTTACTGAACATTTGGGAGCAGAGCAGCTCGTGCAGTTGCCAAGCTCCTAACTGTGTCCAGAATTTTGAGATTATTTTCCTTCCATTTCCCAGAATAATCTGTGGGGTAGCATTTTCCACTCCTGGTGGTTTTTATGCGGTGTATGCCCTTCAGGATAATACTCTGGAACCCCTCCATGGACTCATTTGATAATTAAAGAGTCTAGAAGAAAATGCTCACTGGGGAACATGAGCACAATCTGTAAAAGTTACAAATCAATATATATGAAGGAAGGGAATAATTTTCAGTCTTAGGAAACAGTTTGGGCCACAGAAAGAATAATCTGGTCTACATACTAAGGAAAAGTTTTACCATGAATTATGGCATCTACTCATTAGAGAACAAAGACTGAATAAATGATCCCGCAGGGATTTGCGGGCACTGTGGAGGCAGAAGCTGACTACTCCACCCGTCCATGATGAGGCTGAGATGGCAGTACAGCCCGTCAAGAGAATTTCCATCCACCATCTCAGCCTCACACCCTTCTGTCAGTCGTTTCGCCCACGGTGAGTTAGGAATAGCAACTACGCCTTTTAGGATTTCTAGTCCCTGTGCTGATCTCGGGATACTCCTTTAGCTGCTCCACCCATCCAAAATTAAACCAGAGTGGCAGTATCACTTCTCATCAGGATTTTCAGCCTGCGCTTTGACCCACCACCATTCTGTCAAAGAGCCTCTTTTTTTGCGTATTTCTACCAAAGGATGGATTTACAGGCAGACAGTAAGGTCCTTTCCCGTTCACGTCAGCAGTCCTGTGCTGTGCACACCCTTCATGATATGTCCAGTAGTGGCAGGACAGCTGCCTGTTCTCTGTTGTTACCATTGTGGCTTCTGTGGGTCTGGCTATGGAGTTTTGAACGGGCCCCACTCACGTGGGTGCATATCTCCTTATAACAGGAATTAGTAGAACTGTGATTGAAGTATCTTTGCTCATTTTTCTGTTAACTAATACGTTATAGTATACTTCTATAAAATAGCAGTTATCTATCTGGATGTACTATAAATACAACTGCTATTAAAAATTAATAAAACTGAAGTAATTGTTTCAGAGACCACAAAAAAGTAGCGATGCCACTGTTATCTCTGTCTTGGGTGTTGGTAATCTAAGTATGTAGGGGAGGTGGTGTGTGATGGTCTAACGGTACTGCCACTATGGATTAGACTTGGGATATTGATGCAATGTTGCACTAATCTGCCAGTACAAATCTTCATCTTGCTTTTTTCCTACTTCAGGATATAAACTATTTCAAGGTTCTGATTATTTGGTAGTTAAAATTACATCCAATTCACTCTTCTGATCTGTTTTTCTTTTAAAATGACTTCTGTAATCATGATGCATTTGATGTTGGATTACACGGAAAGTGTGATGTTTTGTTTGTTTCACCATGATTACCTCGTGATGGACCATCTCTGCCCTTCATAGCTTTCGGGGAAGTGTTGTGTTAAGCATGTAGCAATACATTATCATAGTTTATTTAACTGTATGCTGTATTCAGAATGATGGAAGAAATTGTAATGGTCTGACACATTGCGTTAAAAATAGCATCTCTGATCCTCCATTAAGGTAGCAGAAGATACCATTAAACCCGTGCCACAGTGATATAATTCATCAGCATGTCATGCTTCAGTGAAGAAAACGGAGGAAAACTTCTACTTAATGTCCTGGATGACCTCCATTATAGACCCTTTGAGGAATATGCTCATCTCCTTAATGTGGAAGGGATGTAGGGTGACCAGGAGTCCTGTAAAAACAAATATAAGAGTCATCCTACTGAATTTTACTGGAATTGTATTTTACCTTGTAAGGAAATTAACTCACGGGTGACTTTGCTTGTCTATTTAGGTGTTTTCAGGAGGAGGCAACTCTGGTTGCTGGCATGACCATCTTTCATTATATATGCTAGACCTTTGTTCTCCCTCATGGCTCTCAAGCAGGACATTACTTAAATGTAGTGAGGAATATTTCTGTATAAACTGTGCAAACTTGGTAGCATGGGACTTCTCATCAACCCTTTGCAAACAAATCCAGAGGAGAAATGGTGTTGAGGACCGTGGGGCAGAGGCTGTGTGTGAAGAGGACGAAACCTGGCTCTTAGGAGATAAATCATTGTCTCTAATGGCACTGGTATCCATTTTTTTTTTTGTAGGCCTTTTAATTTGAGAGGATCTGGGATGTTTCACAAACATCATAAGCTGCTTCTGCTGCCTAAGAAGCAGTGTAACCCAGATCAATTCCTCAGGCATTGCCAAAAAGAAAAGTTAGTTTCCAGCGGGATAAGCTGCTGGATCACTGTGTAGCTGCGTAAACAGATATTCTGGCACAAAGACAGAGATTGGTGTGAAAATGAGGAATAAAAACAGCTAAGGCAGAATGAAGAAAGCACTGGTTTTGGGGTGGGTTTTTTTCTTCGTTTATTCATGCTAGCTTGAAGTATTCATCCAACTACAGCCTTGGCAGCTCTTTATTTCTTTGGCATCTGCTGCATCTTGTATAGAAGAACAGACTGTTTACCTTTAGGAAGTTTTTTTCAGTAGTGCTGCTTTTGTTCCCTGTTTTCTTTCCATCTTGAGTTTAGTTAAAGTGAGGACCTTTAAAACTGTCTATTATGGCTCTGACTTAAAACCAAAAACAGTGAAAGTATGGCCAGCATGCTAACTTTGGCCCTGGCTTTGGCCCTCAAACATTTGCATAGCTCTGCATTCATGTATTCTTCTGAAGTTAATGGAGATGTCTGTGTATGCAAAGCTAAACGCAGACAAGTGGGGGTGCAGACCCATTAGTTTCATTTGGCAAGTAACTTGGATTTTGTTATGCATTTGGACTGGAAGTGATACTGTGATACCCACTTTTGTTGAAACAACTGCATGGTGGCTCGTGCTGGTCCAGCCCTGGTGCCCTTCTCACCTCCCAGTTTGCTAACAGAAGTTTTGAAGTTGCCAGCAGGAGTGCAAAATAGCTGGCGAAGGGAGATGGCAAAGGAGAGAGGGAGAGAAAAGCAGCTGCTTGTGCTGATGTCGTGTGTCAGAACAGAGTGTGGGTTTTATGAAAGTGTGGTATACGCATATGTGTGTATATATGGATATACCTATGTTGTTCATATAAGCACATACAGTAATACAATAATTCTGACCCAATTCTACCAATATAAATTCTGAACGTGTTTCTGGCATAAAATTTTTGACAAATGCCTGTTAAATGTTTCTTGGGTCGGTTAATATTCTACAGATGTTTTCCTGGAAACCCTGTATGTAAGAGGCAGCTGCAGTATTTGTTTAAAGGTACTCTATATTATGCTCTCATTCATTGCTCTGAGTGGAAATTATTCTCTGGTGTATTCCCACATCTGAAGACCAGTGTGTGTTTTGCATTATGAGAACCATGTAGCTTTTTTCCCCCCTTTTGGAAGGAACTCGGGTATCCAACAGACACCAAATTGTCTGTCTCTCTACAGTTACGTTTCTGAGGATGATGTAGACCTTCACTTTTAGGTTGGCTAATATTTAATTCTATTGACGTCTTTATTTTGAAAAAATGTTGGGCTTTTTATTTACACCCACACAGTATCAACCAAGGGAGGAATTTGTTCCAGAGAAAATAGTGGGGCACTCTGTGTTCCTGCCTGAGAAAATCTTAGAACTGTCACCTTTCGCAGTTCAT